AAAAAAAAAAAAAAAAAAAAAAGCGCTACGGGCCTCGCTCCACTGCAGCTCTCGAAAGGTGCAAAACGAGAGTGAATCTGTCGCCAGAAGATGGAAAGATGCACGGCCATGCTTTTTGTCTTTTGTGCATATCGAGAGAAGTGAAGCATTGCCAAGGCCCAAGTAAATGTATGTCTTGCAGATTATATCTAGATCACAAGTACACAGTGCAAAAGAGGGCTGTTACATTCGAAAACACGAGGGAACTCGGAAAAAAAAAAAAAAAAAAAAAGAACAAAAAAAAACATGAGGGAACGCCGGTGGGTATGGCACCCCACGCTGGCGGGTATTGCAGCCCCACCGGCCCGACCGGTTTCGTCAGCTGCCACGCTGTCCTTCTCAGGGGGAACCCCACATCATCCAGGTGTGTTTTTTTTTGTTTAGTTTTGTTTTTTTAAATAGCATTACGGGACGTGCCCTGACGGGCTCGTGGGCAACTTGCCGCAGCTCTGGGCTGCGGCCATGGCCTTATACTGCCGTCTTCAGGCGAAATAGAACGCCAGGTGATTATACCTGCATCTGGACTGAAAAGTGCACCAAATACGGCTATAATGACCGGGCGCTCTATTCGGGTGAAGACGGGAGCTACCTAGCACCGGACGATTGCACTACTACCGATTGCAAATCCAGCATACATACAAAAAATATGAATTCGAAATGAAAACAGCAAGCAACCTCCATGCATGTTGTACGTCCCCACGTTTTGACGTCCGTGGGATCGTGCATGCATGCATGCATGCATTTTCTCGCCGTGTTGTACGTCCCCACGTTTCCACGTCCGTGGGATCGTGCATGCATGCATGCATGCATTTTTTCGCCGAGAGATTAATTAGGTCGTTCTCACCAGTGTCACCACCACAATGGGCAGAAGAAAAACACATCGGGCCTCGCCACACCACTCTCCAAATGTCCAAAATGAGAATGAATTTCTCCCTAGAACATGGCCAGATGAGCCCGCCACATTTTTGTCGTTTTCACATTTCGAGAGTGGTGTGGCCAGACCCATTGTCATAAGGAATTGGAACCACTACAGACCGTCTGGATGGCAAAATGTCGGATTTAATTTAACGGAAGGGTGACTGTCATAAGTCTACAATCCATGCACTCTGCAATAACCTGGACTGATTCAAAAAAAAAAAAAAAAAAAAAAAAAAGTCCCTCTCCACCGAGATAGGTAACCTCTCTTCACCGAAGAGGGGTAGAAAGCTATGCTTGCAGGGGTTCCCTGTATACCCTGGCTCCCCACCAATAGATGGAGTAGTCCTCAATTCTGACGGTTCTCTTACCACCGCCAGGATAGAGGGATTTTTTTTTTTTTTTTTTTTTTT